ACTTTTGACACTGGGAATCATATGGAAAATGTCCTTTTAAAAGCATTTAAAATGTGCATATATGCAGTAAGCTTGGCATGAAATTTGATTCCTCAGTTTCACTTTTCTTTCAGAGGGGTTTCCATCTCTCTTTCTTGTTCATCAGCACACAGCTCTCAGGAGAAAAGCAGAATCAAACATTTCTACCAGTTTCCCCAGTTTTAAAGACTGCTCCAGGCTCAGGAAAACACTGTCTGAGGGGAAAAAATACAGGGAAACCTCCAATATGTGTTAAGTTTACTGCTCAGCCTTAACTCAACCCCAGGTTTAGCGAGCTACAAAGAACTCTGGAAGTTGCACCAACAACAGACTCCTCTAAAGAGGAGTCAGAGGGATGAGCTGGGAAGTGGATGGTTTAACAATCCTTCCCACTGGATTGCTGTAATTTGCAGAGTGTCTGTCCAAACCAGCAGAGACAACTATACCCTCTTTCTCCTGCTGGGATACTGCTGCTGTTATTATTATTTTAGGGCCAAGGCAAAACACGGCCTTTTCAAAGCTGGAAGTGACAAACACTCAGCTTTCACAAGACTGCAAATGCAGCTTTCCCCCTTTCCCAAAACGTGCCAGGGAATTCTCATGAACAGCATGTAACCATAATTTTTCCACTTTTAGCTAATGCTGAAGAACCATTTTATAGTGATAATTTTATAGCTATATAGTTCACAAAAAAAATTAAACTTATTCCTGCAAAACCTCTGTTACAAAAATTAAAATTCTGCTTTCGCAAACACAAGCCCTATCATTTTATATGCAACATTTCTAATATTTATCATAAATTCCTACCACATCATCACCAAATTGCACAAGAATCCTTCGCAAAAACTCTTGTGACTCACTTTTCCATCAGCCAACAAACCCCACGAGCACTCCTGGCACAATTTCACTTTCAGTATGAGTTTAAAGGGGACTTTCTCAAAACTCGTTTGAGTAAGCAATCAGGGGAATTGCCCAGAGGCACTCTGAATGCAAGACCGAGCTTTTGAAAGTAAAATGTCATCCTCCAAAGCCACTTTGCCTTATTTGTGACATGAAACAAGTAGAGAAATACGACGGGTGACAAAAGATGCAGAAACTAGGTTCAAGAGCCAAACTGCTGACGGAAGGAACAGCAGATTGTCAAAACAGCTGAGTAATAAAGCAGAACGCGTTAATTTTCCTAAAGAAAAGGAGGAAAGCCGCCTGGCACAGCTCTGACACATTCCTCCGCGGCTAAAACCGGGGAAGGACTGAAGCAGCGCAACGAGCAAACCCTCCAGGGCGGATCCCCCAGCCCCGCCGGCCCGGGGTGCTGGAGCATCCTCATCCCCGCCCTGGAGCACATCCCAACCCTCCCCTCCCTGCCAGGGCAGCGCCGCCACCGCCAAGTCACCGCTGTCACCGCGGCGGCCCCAGCCCCGCCGCCCCGGCCCCCGGGCACCCACCTGCCGTCCCCGGGAGGGGGGAGCTCGGGCGCTCCCGCAGCTGCTCCCCGGGGCTCCTTCCCGGGAGGACGGCGGGGGCCGCTGTCCCTGAGGGGAAGGGACCGGGAGCGGTTCCTACGGCGGCCCGGAAGGCCCGGGGAAAACGGGCACCATCACGTGGGTGAGGCCGCGCCCCGCCCGCCATGGCGGCGCCCGGCCCTCAGCCCGGGGCGGCCGGGGGTGCGGGGTACGCCGGAATTTTCACTAAGTCGGGATGTTCTTTGGTGTTCGGTGCTTGTACGCTTTCGAGCCTAATAAAAAAAAAAAAAGGCAATCACATAATCGCAGAGTCGGTTGGGTTGGAAAAGAGCTCAGAGATCGGCGAGTCCGCCCTCTGGCCGAACACCACCGTGCCAACCAGACCACGGCGCTCGGTGCCACGTCCAGTCTGTCCTTAAACACCTCCGGGTGTTTAAGGCGACCCCACCACCTCCCCGGGCAGGATGGTGACTCCGCCACCTCCCTGGGCAGGCTGTTCCAATGTCTAATCACCCTTTCTGTGAAGAAATTCTTCCTAATGTGCAACCTAAACCCTCCCTGGCACAGCTTAAGGCCGTGTCCTCTCGTCCTGTTGCTGAGGAGACTCACCTCACCAATTATATAAGTATCTAAAGGGGAGTGCCAAGACAATGGAGCCAAAGTCGTCTAAGTGGTGCCAAGCAAGAGGGAAAGAGGCAACGGGTAGAAAGTGAGGCACAGAAGTCCCACCTAAACATGGGGAAGAACTTTACTGTGTGAGTGGTTGCACACTGGAACAGATTGACTAGAGAGAGTGTGGAGTCTCCCTCACTGGAGATATTCCAGAGCTGCCTGCATGCAGTCCTGTGCCATGTCCTCTGGGACCATATGACCTACCCTTCCTACCTGACCCATTCTGTGATTTTGTGGTTCTGTGAGACATAATCTGTGAAACAGGTAGCAGTTTACAAGCTCTAAGTGATGTCCCTTTGTTAGAAAGATAAATTACTTGAAAGTAGAATCACCTTGTTAAGGTTTAGGTCTCGACATGTTTCAGTGATCTCAGACCTAGAGGGATGGTGGACCTGGGGGAGGTTAACAAAGCTTGGGAAGAAGGATGTACAACTGATAGTGGGCACAAAGAATGCCAAATTTTTAAGTCACAAGGACATTTGGCAGAATTTCCAAGGTAGGGAGGAAGCTGATAAAGCCACCTTGGCAACTGTGCTGAATCAGCTCCAGCTGGGTAAAAGGTAATTCTGACAGGGGCACATCACAACCACCAACTCAAGAAACCCACCGAGTCAAAAGAAGAGAAAGACTGAGCATTTGGACTAGTTACCATAAAAAGCAAGAGAATGATTAAACAATAGAAGATAGAATACTAATTAATAAGAGAACTATCTTAACTTGTAGACAATAAACATTAATGTCTTTGTTCACTAAAATGCATAAATTGTAAAAAGTTTGATACTTGGTGTGCTTGATTTGTGGAACACCACTGAGCACCCAGGCTTGCACAGTCTGAAATAGATAATGAATGTCTCTCTTGAAGGTGTAATTATTAACTTGTTGCACACCAGGTGATGAATCCGATTTCGTGGACAACAGTGGGAGCTGCTGGCCCCGGGGTGTCTGATGGCTCATCTCTGGGATGTGATGAGGGGTCTCCAAGGCTGCCCTGAGGAACTGTCCCTTCCAGGGCAGTTGGGGTTGGGCAGGTGCTGAGTGCTCTGCAGCCACCCCTCAGCTGCCACCTCTCTGTGTGTGGGGCAGAGGGGGCTGAAATTCCCATCGGTGCTGAGAGGGAGCACTTCCCCAAAAGGCCAAGGTTCTGTGAAGTGTACCAGAAGGATCAATGTGAGTTTGTTTTGTTTTGTTTTGTTTTGTTTTCCTCTGTATTCTTTGAAATCATCAGTATTGAGGTGAGATTTAGTGTGGGAGCTTTTATTTCCCCTTCATTGAGGATCAGCATGGTCTTGCCTGGTTATGGAGCTGTCAAAAGTCGACCTGGGTTCAGAGACAGGGCTGGAAGAATACATGGGGTGCATGGCACACCTGGTGCTAAACACCACCTCATGCTGAGGCCATGCTCTAGTGTCACTTCTAATCCCCATAATGTCCTGGAGTGGGAGCAGGGTATGGCTGCAAGCATTTGGCTGTACAATGTGGGCTGCTCAATGTTGTGTTTGCATCTGAGGCCCTCAAAGGCCTGGGGCTTGCTCCTGGAATGTTTTTGGCACCTGTTATGATTAACTCATGTAGGCTAATCCTTTCATATGACCAGCTGTCCCAGCAGCAAAGGGATTTTATTCTAACTGCCCCAATGTGTGACTGAAATCATTGCACAGCAGTGTTATTCATTCTATAATGGATGGACCTGCAGGAGCCCTAACATCTTCCTTGGGAAGTCATACAGACTATGTGAGAGTCCCATTTACAGCTTTGGAAATGGGAACCTTGCAGGGATTATAGGTTTGTGAAGAAGACACTGAACTTGAACTTCAGGGTTCCAGGCTCCCCCATGTGCATAAATCAGTCAATTTTGCCTACTCATAAACTCAGGGTAAACTTGCTTTTATGGCAGTCTTGAGTTCAGTGCTTGAAACTCAGCTAAAGCTATGGTAATAGTGATGGAAGTTCCTGTCCCATTTCATTTTCACCACAGCTGCTTTAGGAAAAAGCCCATAATTTTCTCATTAGGCGATTGTGTGTGTGTAATATTCCAGTCTCTTGAAATGTGAGTATAGCAACTTTTCTCATAACTAAAACTACTCCATGTATAAATGCAGATTTACTGAAATTGCTCTTCCATAATGTCCTTGGAAATTAAATTGAAAGACTTATCCAAAGGCAAAATGCCTTTTCTAAATAAGTTCCAGTCAGTACAAAGCACAGTAATATGCTAGAGAAGCCTGAAGAAAGGAAAGGACAAAGTGTTTCTATGGAAGAGTTTACAAAGGAGTTAGTTACTTAGTCCATGCATAAAACTGCATGGAGTTTAAACCCAAGGTTTTCAAGGTCCGTGTTTAATTAAGATAACTAATTCAATCAAAGGACAATGAAGCTATTGAAGTATTTCCTTCCAGGGAATTCCTTGTTTCATGTGGACTAATTGTTATCTAGTATTTTTTCCCTGTTTTACCCATACCTATTGTGCATATCTATGTTTTATCTTTTTTGTTCTTATTTCTATTAATTCTTTAAATACTGAACTACTGTGAAGAAAAAAAAAAAAACAGCTATGATGTCTCATGCCTACTCATGAAATGGGGAGACATTTCACTTATCCAGTTTCTCTGAAGCCTATGTTTGAGAAAGAGACTTGTCTGAACACTTGCTGCCAGAAGTGGGTGATATGTAGCTCCTGTTTTTGTCATTGAAAAGCACCTGCAAGAGAGAGTCTTCTTTCTCTAAAAGATTTTGCAGGAGGGGAGACCTCATTAGTTTCCTAGTGAAATACTGGGTATAGATGGGAACCAACAATATGTTATCATAAAATTTATATGCAAGAAAAAAAATTTTGCTTACTAAGTCCCATTGCAACAATAGAAGTGAGCAGAGGTTTTATTAATTAATTTTAAAAATACATCAGAAAGCATCTTGAATCTCTTGAAAGTGAATGACGAAATCATATGTTAAAAATTATAAAGATATTAAAGATTATATATTAAGAATCTTCCTTGGCTAATAAAAGTAGTAGACCTGCAGCAGGTTGATCTATGTAACTAGAAAAACTACTTTGCTATTTTAAGTTTTAGTCAAGTTTTTGGCTAAGTTTTAGGTATGACTGAGTGTCTTCACGGTGAGACATACAATCCAAGCTTCCTTGCTGCTTCAGAAATTCTGGGCCCTTTCTTATTAGGGAAAGGGTAAAAGTTCAGTTTGTTGCAGGCTGGCATGCATTTTGTAGAAGAAACATGCTGATGTGTCCAAACTGCTGAAGTGGCTGATTTCAGAGGAGGCTTTTGGCAGGAACTTGAAATGTTGCAGCCGTTCTCCTCACTGAAACTTCTCAACAGGCTTGAACTTCCCAGTTGACTGAGTGCAGATAATTCACTTTCTCCTCCTAATTCCTTGGGTTGGGGTGTCCCGCTTCCCTTTGAAATCAGTCTCTGGTTGTCAAAACTCCACGGTCTGTTCTTGTGGTGGGAAAGGTCCCAGGAGACTCCTCGTCCCGGGGTTTGCCCCAGGCGGTGAGTTCCCAGGTGGATGTGCCACAGCAGGTCGCCTTCTAAGTTGCCACCGTTGGTTGTCTCCGTTGTGACCTTTTTGACAGGAACGTCTCCTGTGCGTGACTTCGATCTTCTAACTTTTTTATTAATTAGGACGGCATTCACCATCGATTCTGGGAGAACAGATTCCCGTTCACCTACGAGAGAAATGCATTTGCACATGTAACCATGGTGGAAAAAAACACCAGGGGTACGATTTCTGTGGCAGAGACTCATCTGAAGAGCTTTAACACATGAGTTTATCTGTGCTCTTTCTGTCTGTGGCTGAGAGTAGTGCAAGTTCTTTTGAGGCCAGGTTAAAGAGTGCAACTATTTCATGCTTGGTTTTACAGTCCTGAGGACACAAAAGGTATCCTAGCTTTAGTCAAATGAAAATGGAAATTTATCGAGTCAATATTGATCTAACCAGTACTCTAAGACTCATTAACAGCACAGATTGAGAATTGACTTTCAGTAATTAATTGTTTGCAAGCAAAACTTCTTGAAGGTGAGTAGGGACTTGCTCAGTGTGTTGGTAGATGCTGTAATTTGAGAAGCAAAAAGTTTGTTTGATACTGTTTCAAGTTTGTATTCACAACTTAATAACATTGTGCCCATTTGTAGGTGAAAAAAGTTGTGAATGTCTTCTTTTTCATAATAAGGAATCATTAACATATAGGCTTGCATTTTAATATTTTACTCCAATTTTACTATTACAGTCAGTATAGTGTGAATAGCTTATCACACTAGTGTTGCCTGAATGATTGCTTAGAGAAATCTTCTTGGTCCATGAATGGTAGAGAGTAGCTGTAACAGTGGGAGAGAATCTGGTCTCTTTTTTTATTCTTGTATCCCTGTAGCTTAATTTCTAAAGTGTTATGAAAGAAATGTATAAGATATTAGGGATAGAATTGCTAATGCTACCTTAATTACATGCAACAGTCATCAAATTAGTGGACAGGACTGGTTTTTTGTGTCTTGAAAATGAATAGAAGCTGAACCATTGCACTAAAGATAATCAGTTGATACTGCAACTACTAATGAAATATACCTCAGTTGGGATAAATATAGTTTAAAGTAGGAGCTGTACAGAATGCTGACCTTATTTACAGGGCTGAGTTACAGGTGCTGTGTCTGTTGCAGTATCAGTTATGAAGCACAGTAAAGGGAAAAAAGTAGACATAGAAGAATGCTGATTATATTCTGAAAGCATGTCTCTGAACAGCTGTTTTAAAAGGCTTGTAACCCTGAATTTGAAATGCAGCTAGTTTGAATAGGATGCTGCCTTTACAAAAACCCAACAGCACGACCTCTCCTTTACAGCTGCCTTTCGTGCCATCTTCACAAAGAGGTATTTGAAGATGTCAGACCCAGCTGATTTACTGGCAGTAAATGAACCTGTACAACAGTGCTTTGGCTAAGGAGGGGCTTTCCCTGCTGCCTTTGGTTGTTGCTGAAGCAACAACCCCAGCATAACACCACAGAACTTTTTCTGCTCCGTGGGTTGGCCACGTAGGATTGATCTGATAAGAGCTGCTTTGCAGCATGGCTGGGAGGGAGAACTGTGTGAGCCCACACCTTCTGCTCTCCTGCTGTGTTACTGGGAGAAAGGAGACTAAAGCACTGGCAGAGCTTTGAGATGCAGGTGTGTTTGTGCATCTGTCTGTAAAATGAAGTGTGCTAACAGACTTTTTTAGGGTGACACCACTCAGGGAGATAAGAACACACAGTTCTGCATCACGAGACAGTGAGAATCAAAGTTATGACTGGACTTTATCCAAGAAATAATGCTGACTTTGGGTGGCTACACAAAGGTCCACTTGCAAAACAGAGCCCTGTGTGTTCTGCAGAACAGCACAGTAGAGCACCAAGCTATGAAAACCAGTAATTGTTCTCCTTGTGTGAGAGAAAAAAAGCAAGAGAGAAGGGAACCGAGAGACTGAGGTGAAGCACCTTTGCATGTTCTTGTGAATGTTAACTGTGCTCTTGGCTGAACTGGCACTGATAGGCAATATCATGTATTACCTAGAACCTTATGAACTGGTCATCAGAAGAATTATGATCTGGCTTGAGCTGATCAAAGAGTTCAATGTAATGAGTCTAGTCAAATCTTAATAGTCTGCACTGATTTGATTTCAAGTTTGATTTGGTTCCTTGCTTGGCTACAGATACAGCACACAAAATTGAGCACTGACCTTGGACAGAAATGCGAAAGTCCTGAACCCCTGTGTATTTAATTGACACACATTCAGCTCTCTCCAAACTTCTTAAAAAGCTGCAATTAGACAGACCTTTCTGTCTTTTTTTTTTTTTTTTTTTTTTTTAATTAAATTATGTATTATAGCCTTGTTGCAGAGTTGTTTACCCTCTGGACTTTTTCATATGATCCCATCACCAATAGATACTTTTAAGGTTCCAGAGTGGCAGAAGTTAATCTTATTTTGAATTAGCTTGGGAAATACTTGGAAGAGATTTCTGCAGTCAGTGCCCCAGTGTTTATTCTGTTGTGACTGCATGTGCTGAATGCTCCCATTTAATTCCTAAAGTAAATACTGTTTTTCAGCTTCTTAGCCAATAAATAATGAATACACTGCTGTATTATCTGCTACCTGGTGACTTTCAAATCTTATCGTGCTCTTTGTTCTCAAATAATCAGGAATGGGCAGAAACGTGAACGTGGCTGTGTGTACTGGGGAGGAAACAGAACAAAGTCATTTTCAGGTGACTTCTTGGTTACTGACACGTGCATCAAAAACCTGGGGAAGTTAGAGGGTCTTAGGTTCTGTTTAAAGGTCCAGGATTTCTGGCAAACAGGTAGTGACATACAGAGCTAAAAGTCCTCAAGGAAACTTGGAGTTACCATTCCAACTGTCGTGCAATGAACCTGCAATGCTCAAAATCCCTGTGGTATCATAAAAAGAAAGCTGGCCTGTGAGGCTGGAATGGTGCAGGGTTTTATTAGTTAGAACAAAGACCTTTGGCACGGATTTTTAAGACCACGAGTGACTGAAGGTGCTCTCGTTCCATGAGGGTTTTTGTGTCAGGCCTTTGAGGTTTGTGTGTATGTGTGGGGTTGTGGTGGTGCTACTGTGTTGTGCCTCTCCCAGCCTAGCCACAATCTTACCCTTTAGGTAGGGAAACAATTTATTGTCAGTACGAAACACTGATACACACGTGGACTGCCTTTTGGTGCTAGCTGGAATTTTAGGATGGTGTAGGGCATTAGGCTCTCCTGATATGGCAGTGTTCATCTCTGCTTGACATATTCTTGAAAACTGATGCACGTAACAGGTTCCAAGTGCTTCCAAACCATAGGAACTGAACATAACAACCCCCTCCCCCCAAACTTCAACTGCCTCTAACAGTGACATGAATTCTTTCTACACAGGGTGTTTAAAGACAGAAGTTCAGTGCTGTAGGTTATGTGGTTTTGTGAATGTTTTGGGGTATGTGTATAAAAATACTTACATGTGGATTTTCAGCACTATTAAATTTTAAACTTCCCAGAAACTGTACAGTCCTGCTTTTTTACATCTTTTAATCTTCAAATGGCCTTGTAAAAAATCTGCTCTGATTACATTCATTATATTTGAAGCTTCATTTGAATTAATCTGAATAAAGCTTCTGCTTCCTTTCTTTAACGAACTTAGGTTTTTGCTACAGCTGATTAGTTGGGCTGTTTTGTCTTCAAGTTAACTGCCTTTTCATATCTGATAAAATAAGCTTGTATATATTTTTTTCTTCCTCACAGAGATTTTAATTCTTTTAACATGAGAATTTCAAAACATATGGATGAAAGAATATTTAAGAAGTGAATTTGTTGTATAGTTCATAATTATGTGTTTTTTTCAATTGTCTTGATTGCAAAGTCTGACACAGCCAAATTCTAGAACTGAAAAACGTAGAAGAAAATGTAAAGAATGAAATAACCTAAGTTTTGTACTTGTTAAGATAAATACTAATGTGAGAGGTGAATGAAGCATGTTTTTCATATTGCAATTAAATTCAGAACGTAACTTCATTAATTGGCTTAGTATTCTGAATATCAATTTAACTTTGAAACCTAATGAAAATATATCAGTGTAATACTGTAAGCAGTAGTTTAACTAAACGATAAAACATTTGAAAGTCTCTTACATAAAATCTGTCTGACAGCAGGTAGATGAGTGATACATATTGTTACTTGTTTTTCTATTTATGCACTTTCCAAGTAATATGCACTGAAGATACTTTCAAAACAGGACCTTTTGTTCAAAGCTTGTATTTTAGTTACCCACTATAACCTTTAATATAATTTTTTTTTTAACAAAACCCCAACTTGTGCTCATTACTTGGTATTTGCTGTTGCTTCCTGTAGTCTTTCTTTACATGGATAGAGAAGGGAAAAAGAGACAGATGACCCAGAATTGCAGGTTCTGATGGAAACATTCAAGAGAATAGAAATGTTACAGAATACATTGCACAAATACACTGAGTACAGACATGAAGTACGTGGCTTCTGTAAGAGCTACCATCTATGTTTAGAATTTTACTGACATAAAACCTGTAACACCTTACCTCAAATATGTTCATCTGTTTCAAATACAAGTTAGTGTTTCACTGACATGAAGATAATAGATATAAATTGACATAAACATAAAAAAACCTTGAGAGAAATGAATAAAACCTTAAAAAGACAGAAAAAGAATTCAATTTTACCTCTCTTGAAGCTGAACATCAAAAGAACAAAGCCAGAAGTTATTAAATCTTTAAAGAAGTAGTCTTTACATTACATATGCATTTTTTCCTATCAGTATAAGCATACCTGTTTTATATACAATAATGTCTGGCTGCAGTTTTTGCTTCTGTTTTATATGGTCATACTGCTCCTCAAGTTTGCCTACATCCATCTCGGTGAGCTGCTTGCCACGGTCTGAAACCTGTGGCTCTGAAGTGTGAGTCACTGAAAAAATACCAGTCATGTATTTGTAAACCTTCACCATCTGTTCCAACAAGGAAGAAAAAGTTGTGCAGAAGCAGGACACTTCCTTCATTGCGTTGGCAAGAAAGCAAATCGAGTATGAAGCATCTGAAATCTTCCTAAGTGAACGAGTGACTTTCTTCCAAGCAGGGAGACTTGTGTCAGAAGTTGCCTGGTCTGCGCTGAAGTCGTGGCTGTCAGTCAGCTTGTTTTCATGCAGCGTGTCTGGAGCTCCTGCACACAGAGTTCGTGGATAGATGGATTTAATGTTTACCTAAGGTTGTAAGCATGTGAACCTTTGCCAAGAAAAACAGTGAAATACGAAACCTCCTTGAACACAGTCAAGTGCAGAAAGGGCTGGGTAATACTGGTTTATGTAGCAATGTTAATTTTTAAAGGGATGATATTGAGGACGCATCCCCAGGATAGTAGTTCCACCTGGGAAATGTTTTTCCATGTTTCTTTCCACGTGTGTTTTGTGTCTTTTCCTCTCCACTGTCCCTTCCTTAACTTTCACCCAGTTTCATTCTTGCTGACACTTCTTGGGGCAGTGGGGTGGGAGGAGACAATTTGTTATACCTTAATACTTTTGTGCTTATTGCTTCCTTTTAAAGAATGTGTCAAAAGTATTTAGGCCTCAGTGCAGAGTCAGAAGAGTATGTGCCAATGACACTTGGAATTGGGAGGCTGGAGACAGGAACACCCTACTCTGATTCATTCAGGATTTCCGCCGTTCTATAGGATGAAATAAATTACAGAAATAATAATTTTGTTACTGAGAGCTGAGCAAACCCTTCAAATACGCGGTAAGCCACCTTTTAAGACTTACTATACATGTAACAGTATTATCTAAAGTGAGGCAAAAATTTAAGAAGTACATGGGTTTTGTTTATATCGGATAAAGTATGAAACTATGCCTGGACTACGTACTGCAAGTTTTTGTCCCTGAAATAGGTCCATCAAGGGCCTATGTGAAAAAATAATGCAGTTAAACTGTAGTTTTAACACAGTTGTCACCTGCTCAGTTTCATGCACTGACACACTTTTGGTCAAAGTTTAAAGGGACTTTCTCAGAACTAATTTGAGTAAACAGTCAGGGGTATGTCCTGAGCCACTTTGAATGCAAGACTGAGCTTTTGTAACTAAAATGTCGTACTCTAAAGCCTGTTTGCCTTACATGTGACATAAAAAACCCCAGAGAAATAGGTCTCAAAAGCCGAAGTGTTGATGGAAGTGATGGTATTGTCAGAACGGTTGGCTAATAAAGCAGGACACATTAATTTTTCCTAAAGAAAAGTAGGAATGCCACCTGGCACAGCTCTGACGCACCGGGGACAGCAGCCTCCAGGGGAATCTTGGGCACTCACGCAGCTGATCCCTGAGCTCCTTCCCGGGAGGAAGGCGAGGTCCGCTGGCCCTGAGGGAAGGATCCGGGAACAGCCGGGCGGAGGCTGTGGCATCACAGCGGCGGCAGGTTCCGATGGAACGCGGCGGGCGGGGGAACACGGGAGCCAGGCGGGGCTCATCACAATATACAATGTGGTGTGTGCTCAGAGGAAGCGAAATAACATTTTATTCCATGGTGTTTTTTCTGGGTTTTTTTGGGGTTTTTTTTTGTTTGTTTGTTTGTTTTTTGTTTTTTGTTTTTTTTTTTTTGTGCATGGCTCTATGCAAGCATCTGGAGGATATGTAGTATCCTCCGTCAAGCACAACAAAATTCAGTGGAATTGTAGGAAAGATTAATGGTTTGAAGTTGCCTTGGGTGCAAAGAAAATGGTAATTTCTCTTGGAAATGGATAACATTCCTATCGCTTTGACAGTAGGCTTTTATTTATCCATTGGTTATTTATTCATACATTGGTCTGTTTCCAAGATATCTTGTGAGGGCATGGTTTAATTTTCTGTCTGAGAAGGGTTTTTGTTTAGATGGATATAAACCACAGGTGTGAGACTGGTAATAACCACTCACCTATGAAAACCTGCACAGGTTTGTGGTGCAGTTGTGGCACAAGAGAAGATCATAGAATCATAGAATGTTAAGGGTTTGGAAGGATCATCTAGTGCCAACCCCTCCTGCCATGGGCAGGGACACTTCCCATGAGACCGGGTTGCTGAAGGCATTATCCAGCCTGGCCTTGAACACTGCCAGGTTTGGGGCATCCACAGCCTCCCTGGGCAACCTGTTCCAGTGCCTAACCACTCTCATAGTAAAGAATTTCTTCCTAATCCTAGACTAGACTCACCCTCTTTCAATTTGTACCCATTACTCTTTGTCCTGTCACTACAGTTCCTGGCAAAGAGTCCCTCTCTGGCTTCCCTGTAGGCCCCCTTCAGATACTGGAAGGTTGCTATGAGGTCTCCATGCAATGTTCTCTTCTCTGAGCAAGATGTTAAACCCTCTATTAAAAAACCAGTTGTACTACTAAAGTTATATCTGTGTAGCTGAAATGATTATGTCCCCTTTGTGCACACACTGTTGTAACAGCAGAAAGATGTGTAACACTGCTGGTAAGGATGGTGTGTTGTTAGATGGTATCAGGGAGCTGAGTAATTAATTCAGACTTTTGTTTTTTTAATGAAATACTGGGGATAGATGGGAACCAACAATATGTTATTATAAAATTTATATATAAGTAGAAGATGATGTGCACTAAGACCCATTACAACAACAGAAATGAGCAGAAATTTTATTAATTGATTTTAAAAATTATAAAGATATTAAATATTATATAGTAAGGATCTTCCTTGTGTAATAAGAGTAGTAGACCCACAGCAGGTTGATCTGTGTAACTAGAAAGACTACTTTGCTATTTTGTTTTAGTCAGGTTTTTTACTAAGTTTTAGATATGACTGAATGTCTTCGTGGTGAGATGTATAACCCAAACCTCCTTGCTGCTTCAGAAATTCTGGGCCCTTTCTTACTAGAGAAAAAGTAAAAGTTCAGTTTGTTGCAGTCTGGCATGCATTTTGCCTCAGCCAGGGAAAGAACAGTAAACAAAATACTCTGTCAGACACTGGAGATACTTTTCAAGTTGCCTTCTCTCTACGCTAGAAAAAGCATGTTTGAGTTTTGCTGATGTATCATGGCTTTAGTAGATCTACTTTGATACTCTGCCTCCAGCTGAGACAAACATCTGGTGCTCTGTAGCAAGGAATTGCCTTGTTTGTCCAGTGTTCTGAGTTGCTGTCACATGGAGCCTGCCTTTGGACCTTCAGGCAGCCGATTTGTACATTGGGACAGGAGATTTAATTAACTTCATTACAGTTTGAGCTGGCATTCAATACAAGCATTATTAATGGTCTTAAAAGTTACCCAACCTTTTTAAAATTCCAGTCACACTTTTTGACTTGCTGACCTCCTGTGAAAGAGACTTGTGCAACCTGACTATGTGTGGCAGAAGGAATTACCAGCATAGCACCCTTGACCCTGAAATGTAGGCTCTGTCTTCAAATATGTGCACTTCACTTCTCATTGGAAGAACATTTAACGTATAATGAGTTTGTATTTGATCAGAAATTATTGTTAATTATTTGTACTGTACAATTCCCTCGGGATCATGGAAAAGCCGTCACACGTAGTTACGCAAATGGTTTATACAAGGCAGCTCCTTCCCAAGCAGTTGCATGGGTAGGCAACAAAAACAGAAATGGGCTAAAGGAACCAAATGCCCAGTGAAATGTAGGGAATGAGTCCATGTGGTACAGCAGAGCTGGAACTGGGAACAGGGTTAGTTTTTATTTTGCTGAGCCAATCCTGTATACATGGCAGTTTGCTTCCTTTTCACCGAAAGCTTGTGAACAAAGCATCTTCACAGAATTGTTAGGGTTGGCAAATACCTTTAAGATAACTAAGTCCAACTGTCAACCCAGCACTATCATGTTCACCATTAAATCACATCCTCAAGTGCCATATCCACACATTTTTTTTAACACTTCCAGGGATCACTTCCCTGTGAAGTCTGTTCCAATGCTTTACAACCATTTAACTGAAATTTTTTTTCCTAATATTTAATCTAAACCTACCCTGGTGCAACTCAAGGCCATTTCCTCTCATCATGTCACTGGGAGAAGAGACCATAACCTCTTTTCAGGAAGTCGTAGAGAGCAATAAGGTCCCTCCTGAACCTCCTTTTCTCCAGGCAAAACATCCCCAGCTGCTGCAGCTGCTCCTCATCAGACTTTTGCTCCAGACCCTTCCCCAGCTCCGTTTGTCCTTCTCTGGACACACTCCAGCACCTCATTGTCTTTCTTGTAGTGAGGGACCCAAAACTGAGCACAGGACTTGAGGTGCAGTTGACTGAGTCTCTATAGGTGTGTATATGGGTTTGTGAGCATGTGTGTTTGTGTGTGTACACTTTTTTGTCAAGGCATGACTGTGTGTGTATATGTATACACACACACACACACACACTCACATATACTTGTGTTTTATGAATAATTTGCAACCACGATATAATTAATGAAATTAATTTCAGGTCTAATGTACATGACATCACAAAGAGCACGAGGTTAATCGTGGTTTTGATGTATAGTGAGCTGAGCCTTCTTATGCCACTGACATAAACTTGAAAATGCATTGTCCATGGGTTATGTTCTTATACCATAGTGGGACAACTTCCTTTGTGCCCCTAGCCCTTTTAGGTATTGCTGATAAACAAAAATAAATTTTTATTGTCATACCTGCACACCAAATTATGATTTCTCTTTAAATCAGTCTTTAAACGGAGTTACTTGGATCTACAGACCCCTGTACACTTTTACAGTGCACAGCAGGTGGCACTGTTGGAGTGGCGTGAATGTGTATTTGCCTGAGCCTGAAATGTTAGAGGCTTCCATTTGTAGATTCCTGAGGAATATAAGCAGACAAGCCATGTCCTAGCACTGGCACACGTATCTCCTAACAGCACTACAGGTTCTGAAAATTTATTACCATGATTGGGTTTGTGTCAAAACTTGTCTTTCGTTAATTGAACAAACTCCTGATCAAAACATCGTCTGAATGGCTTTTGTTTGATTATCCAGTGGAGTCTGAAGTGCCCTATTTCCCTTAAGTCTGTTCTTCCATCACAATGGAACCAATTCTTCATTTCCTTGAGGCAAAATAAATTTGACAATATTTCATAGTCCAAAAGCAGTGGCTTTTAGAACTCAAAGTAGATGTTTACTGCCCTTGACCTTGGCTGCAAAATCTCATTTAAAAAGATGCAACTAATTTTATCTTATACTAATTAATT